GTAGGGAAAAAAAAAAAAAAAAAAACTTTTCATCCAGATTTGTCCTTGGAGGGCCTAGCTGGGATGACAGGCATGCATGTGGTTCCAAGTCCTGGTCTCCAGGGAGTGCTGGGATGGCTTCAGCAATGTTTGTCGACCTTCCTGTCCCCTGGTGCCTTTCACCTGGATTAACCTAACCTGCAGGATAAAAGACCACCCTTCAGCACCCCAGGATGCTGAGGTCTGGTCTGTGCCTTGTTTCTGTTCTCTAGGCCTCAGGTCCTGGTGAAGGCAGTGCCTCTGGAGGAAGAGGAAGAGCAAAAGCTCTCGGAGGTGCTGAAGACCCAAGAGGGGAGGCGGACAAGGTCCCCAGTGGCAATCTCTGAAAAGCTGAGACAGAAGAAGGAACAATGGGAGCCAGGGGCCAGAGTGAGCCACGTGGAGCCAGAGTTGCAGCAGCATGCAGGGCAAGAGAGTGTCCTGGCTGGAGAACAGGGTCACGATGCAGCCAAGAGCAGAGGGACCTCATCAGAAGACCAGCGCTCGGAGACGGCCTCAGAGAGGAAGGTGCTAACAAAGGGACAGCTTGAGGACAAACAGGAACAGGGCATGGAGACACAGCAGGGGAACCAGAGGAGTGAGGTGGGGGAGCAGCAGAAGCAGGCAGTGCAGGAGCAGAGGAGCTGCAGGCTCCACGAAGTGAAGATCCTGCCTGGAGGAGGAAGCCGCAGCATGGAGAAGATAAACTCATCGGTGACCTTGCCTCCTGGCCAGCAGGTGAGCAGGACTTGGAAAGCATCCAACACTTGCAACTCCCTACCCTGAGTGAACCCTTTCTTGCTTTCCAGCCCTAGCAAGGGGAGAGAAAGAGCTGACTCTAGTGTGAAGTCCCAGGTGCTCGAATGGGAACAGAAAGAGGGAGAGTCCAAAGTACCAGGAAGGAAAAGCTATCTGTAGGCTTTTGGGGAATGCGTGCTTGATATGGATGGCTTCATGATGTCACAGGCCAAACAACATCGCTACAGGGCAGGGGAAGGGTGTGCATTGCCAATGTGGACAGTCATAGTGTGTCTGTTCCCCCACCTCACTTGATCGGGAAGAAAGATGAGGTGGTACCAGGGACAGGGTCCCAGCGCCTACCTCCTTTCCCCCTTGCAAGTGCTATTTTGATGACCTTCTCAGGGAAGTGCCTATCAGTCTCCCTTACGGTTTGGCTGAAGAGGGGGTTGGGGTTTCGCATATCCAACTGAAATAGCAAAGGTTTGGAGGATCAGGATCTCATACGCTTGCCTCCAAACCAGTTCCTACCCTGGCTGCTCAGATCCCTGGGCCTAAATCTTCTTTGTAAACTCTGCGTGGGTGTATCACATGTCTGTTTTTTGCTTAGCATCCACCCAGGAGTTCCCCAAAGGAAGTAACACAGCTGACTCCCACCCAAGATGAACTTGCAGAAAAGTCAGATGCTCCTCCAACTCGTATCACCTATAGTAGCTCCATCAGACGAAGCAGCCCAAGAACTGTCTCTTTCCGGGTAAGAACTAAAGCAAGTAGGGGAAAGACTCTCATTATGTCAGAGAAGGATAGTGGCAGCCTTCAGCTCTTATCAGCAAGGAAGGGTTGCTTTGATCTCTAGGTGATTTTGGCAGAGCCTGTTCCCAAAAGTGAATTCACAATCCATCCTGGACCTGGGCATTGCAGCTCTGCTTCAGTCTTTCCTCTGTTTCTCCTCTTCTTGTCTGACTCACATGTCTGTAACTGTGAACAAACTCATGTTCATACACATGGTGCTGCCATGGAAGCTTGTGGGAAATACTGAGAAAATAAGGCTCTTGTTGTCCTCAGAATTCCCAAAGAGTTACAGGAACCACCATCTGCCCTCTGGCATTTCTATCTTCTCTGAGAATGCAGATAACAAAAAAAATCCATCATCCCTCCTGTTCCTTGTTACATCCCTGAGAATATCTTCAATTCTAATCAAACAAAAGGTATCTGGAATTAACTACTTGGAGAGGCTGGGAAGAGCAACAGAGCTGTTGAGATCCTCTCTTTTACGGCTTAACTGACTTTTATGGTGCTTTTCTGGGCACAAAATGTTTTCAGTCTGGACAGCTTTAATATGAGTTTTGGTGTTGGTGAAAATGGAGCTTGCCTGAAAATGGGGGACCTGACCCAGTTTCTCCCATGTTTTTCTTCTGTGATCAAGAACTGCTTCAGTATCTCCTTTTTTTGTGTCTTCCAGGTGATCTCAAGAAAAGAGAGAGAAGAAAACCCAAGTCCTCTCACAAGGAGGTCAGTGCCTCTGTTTGTATTGCTCTGGTCTTCCTGGTCAGGGATTGTCATCCCTTGTTTTCAAAGGGAGGAGGAGGGGACGGGACTGGGTACCATCCTAGTGAGTGCCCCAGAGAAGGTCTGCTGAACATTGGCCCCCGTGGTGCCTGGCTGACTGGGCAATGATGCTTGGGGTGAGAGCAGAGCACAGACCAATGTCCACCATATAGACTGCATCCATACAGGATCCCCCAGCTTGTGCCCAAGGTCTCTTGGTTAATGTAGTTTCTGATATGTGCTTGCATCTGCACTGTTAGGAGCAACTGAGTGTTGAGAGCAGTGCAGCAGCACCACAGGGTCCCATCCTTGCAGATATTTAAAACTCAACTGTACAAGGCCCAGAGCAACCTGATCTGGCTTTAGAATTGGCCATGTATTGAGCAGGAGGTTGGACCAGAGATCTCTGGAGGTTGCTTCTAGCCTAAACCTTTCTCTGATTCTGGAGTCCGGATGAAGTGATCCTCCACATCTCTGTGGCAAAGTTTGGACTTGTGGCTTAAAAACTCTTGAGGAACTGAGGGTTCAGGTCTGAATGCTGTGAGTAAGTAGGATGCTCTCTCCCACCTCAGAGTGTGTGGCAGGTGAATGAGGCTTTACTGGCTGTGTGCAAAACTCTTCTGACCTGTGTGAGACCGGAGGCTACAGCTCAGACCTGGTGGTAGTCAAGACTGGGTAAACTGGGGAGCAAAAACTATTTGGCAGGGTACAGTGTGGGTCCTAGAAAGGTGGTGAGACCCAGAGATCTCTGTCACCGGCAGGGAAGGAGCTGCCTTGGCTCCTTTAGGAAATGCACATAGGATGAGAGCCTCAGTTGGATTAGATCTCCTCCTGATAAGTTGAGTCCCCCAGGGCCATGGGTCATAGGGGGACCCCGGGGCTGTATTTAACTCTCTCCCCTCTTTTTTTTCCAGTGCAAGTCTGAGGATCCCAGGAAGCAGCACCACTATTGAGGAGAAACTGGAAAAGTACACTTCAGCTGTGCAGGTACCAAAACCCCTCCTTTACAGCCGGACTGACACGGGAGGGATGCATGAGGAGAGGCAGAGGGGTTGCCTGGAGCTGAGAGGGTAAAGAGAGAGCTGGAGGCTGAGCTGAGGCAAAGAACTTGAGCTGATGGAGCTGAGCAAAACTGCCCCAGCCAAAAAAAGGCACCTGCCTCAGGGTTTTAGGAGCAGAAGGGGGATATCCCTTGGAGAGAGTAGTGAGGATGCTGCATGGTCCTGCTCGGGAGAGCAGCAGGGCAATCCCATGAATATGTTGATGTGCAGGGAGAAGACCCCACGCTACCGCAATAGGCTCAGGGAGTGAGCGAGATGCAGGACTTTGCTTTTTGACAGGAGTACGAGACTCCCCAGGGGAGACTGCCTGGGTGCAGCACAACTCCTGCTAACACCCATCTCTCCTCCTAGCGATCGGAGGTGGTGAAATCTTCTCTGACTGTTCAGAAGAACCTCCTGCTTTCCTCAGAGGGAGTGGCCAGCAAGCGCAACTTCTTTGAGGCGAGCACTCCTCCCACCAAGGCAGAGCCCCTTGCTGTCAGGAAGGTAAGGCCAGGAGCTAGCCTGAGTGAGGACCTTCCTGCACGTCCTCGCCACAGCAGAGTCCTATGTCATGGACCACCAGCTCTTTGGGCAAATCCTCCCCTGTTTGGATACTCAATGCACTTCCTGGCAGGCTGCTGCCCAGGGCTGTCTGGATGCAGCCAGGAATGGGAGTTAGGAGCTTTTTGCACAGTGCTGGGCTCGGGCACTGCCACCAAAACTGTGTTTTGGCAGTGTGTGGGTTAGTGTCGATGCACTGGTATTTGAGAAGCTGGGATCTAGCCAAGGCATAGGCTGGTCTCTGCCTGTTGCAGCCCAGGGCACTGTCCTGGGCTACGTTTAAGCAAAGGGAGACCTGGTGCTGTAATCCTGGTTCCTCTCTGTGCCACAGGACAACCGGAAGATCCCGGGATCAGTGACATCCCGCATTAATTTGTGGATCAGCCGAACTCAGGAGCCCAGCAAGGAGGAAAAGAGCAAGGTACCAGCTTGCGCTGACATCTTGGGGTAGAGCCTTGGCACGACAGGTCCATGTATCTGGCAGCAGCGGGGACAGCCCAGACTATGGGGAAGCTGGCCTAGTTAGATTGCCCAGAGTCCTTCTCATTAAAAGTTTTGAGGGGCACTTCGCCAGGGTCTCAGCCTACTCCTTAGAGCAGGGCAGCTTCTGCCTGTTACTCAGCTGGTTCAGGTGTTGCAGGACCACCACAGGAAGATGTCAAGTCTCTGCTTGTTGCTGTGCTCTGATCCTGAGCCAGAAGCACCTGAGGCAGCTGTTCCCAGCCCTCGGTAGGATAAGGAGGGAGCATGCTGTGGTCCAGGCATCGGCTGTGTTCCTCTCCCAGAGGGTGGGGAGGGTGGCTGGGCCCAGCCCTGCCACCAGCAGGATAGATCACCCTAGTGAGAGCCCTACTCTGCTGGTGACTGGAGGACTAGTTCCAACCTGGAGGCCACCGGAGCTGAGGGAGATGAGCTGCATGCTCAGCATTTTGGTGCTGGGCTCAGCAAGACCCAGAGACTTGTGTGTGCATTGAAAGGCACTGCTGTGTAGGGGGCCTAGAACAATCTGCAAAGCCTCCGTGTGCAGATCTCAGCCCTCAAAAGTAGTGTGTCCAGCATCTCAGGGGTGCAAAGTGCTCAAATGAGAGGAGTCAGTGTCACCAGGGCTGTTCCAGACACATGGGATCTCAGCATGAGGGAGACAGTCAGGAGACCCTTTGGGCTCAAGGTAGTTTTCTGTACTTGGGGAGCTTCAGCATGGGCTCCAGCCCTCACAGCGCTGGGCAGAAGTCACCCTTTACAAGGATACTGTGTTTTTGCTGCTGGTTGTAGCACAGTGTGCTGCAGGCACCTGGATACAGATTCTGGAGGGGCAGCTTCAGCCCAGCCCTGCAACCAGTGAAGGCAAGCCCAGGCACCCCCAGTGCTGAACTGCAGAGATTAGGACTGCCCAGACGTGTCCACACCAGGCGGCTGGGCTGGCTCTGTGTCTGCTAGGAAATTGTTCACTCCTGGGGTCACTCCTGGGTAAAGTTTGAATTTCTTTTATGAGTTCTTCCTACAATAACACCCTGCCACCATCCATCTCTATGGGTTGGAGCTGTGCTTTGATTCTGAGGAAATAGATCTACCAGGGGCGTGATCTCAAGGCTGACTGACTTTATCTGGAGCACATATGCTTCAAGGGGATGAAGAGGTCCAGAGGTCTGGTTCAGGTCAGACTAAGGCAATCCTGCACATGATGCATGCAAAAAACCACTTGTGCCACTTACAACTCTCTTACTTGCAGGACACCAGGAAAATAAACAGCCTAACAAAGCGTGATGTCTGGGTAAAGCAGCCAAGAGACTCCTCTGGGGACACCAAGGTACATGTGGAGCTGCTCTGAAAACTGGTGCATCCTTTGAGATAGGGGCACAGCCAGGACCTGCTTGTCAGTGCATAACCTGCAGGGCAGTACTGAGCTCACCCACGTACAGGAGGAAGAGGGGTTGTGTGGGATAATATGACACAGCATATCCAGAACCCCACATCTCCTGGGGGAGTCAGAAAGAGGGGGGGAACTAAAGGCAGCTGTAAGGGTGAGAAGGGGTCTGGTCTGGGAGAGGGAGGGAAATGGCATGTGCTGTAATTTAAGGAAGACCTGCCTGGCCTAGCTCTTGTTTAGGGCGTATAAGGTGCTGGTGAAAGCAGCTGCCTTTTGGGGATTCAGGCCCAGGCTCACTGGTTTTTTGGTTTCTTTTCCAGCTGTAAGAATATAAGATGATCTGGGAAAATGTCTTTTGCTCTGAAGACCAAAACCTGGCTCTACCTAATCATCCAGCAGCCCACTGCCATGAGATTCCCCTGCATGCCATGTGTGAGCTGGATCCGAGGGATGGCCGGGGTCCTCTGCTTGTGGGCTGGGAAGGAAGAAGGCTAGAAGACTATTCCTGTGCCCTCAATCTTCACTCGCTGTTTGTCTGGGAGTATCCAGGCCTTGAGCCCCCTTGCAGATGCTGAAGGCAGAGTCCTGCCTCATTTCCCCACAACACTTTGGTGTTTTGCTCCTAGCCCTCAAGTAGGCCCCATAACTGGGCTTGCAAAGGGTGAACTAGATGTCTCCCTTGCAGCTAGGCCATGATGGTAGATGAGAGGTTGCCCGGCCAGGGGAGTTATGGCTGCCTATCTGCAGACCGTGTCGATTCCTACTGCCTGTCCCTGCTCAGTGGCAGGCTCATGTCGAGTGAGGTGAGGGAGACAGGCAGATGAAACCTCCCTCCCAGGCTGTGACTGCTGGAGGGGACCCAGCAGGCAAATGCTATCTGTAACGTCACAAGTGCACTAGCTTAGTTTGGAGATGCCTCATGGAGGAAAGGTAGACCTGAGGGCCCTGGTGCTTCTCTCCAGCAGCAGTTCCACAGGAGAAGGGGGCTTGCCCTCCTTCATCCTACCCCTTTTGTTTCCTGCCCCTTACAAACAGTGACCCCTTTCGCTTAGTGCTGTGGGGAAGGTGGGATGGCCATGACCCTATTTACGAGTCCTGTCCTGGGCCCAGTCTGCTGCAGAGCCCCTGCAAACCTCATCTTCCCTCTCGTTGCTCCTTGTGAACCATTTATCCTTGGCTACACAGACCCAAAGTTACCTGATCCCTGCCTCTGTGCTCCCTGGCCTGCT